TTTGTTTGTTTGTTTAGTTCATCATTCATTGAGCCCCTACTAGGTATCAGTCACATGCTGGGGACACCAAGATGAGCATATCAGCATCACTGTTCTGCAGTAAGGGTTCAGAGAGGAATGGGGAGCAGAGAGAAATAGTTATGATCAAGTGACCTAGGAGAGTCTTGGGGGCTGGGAGGAGGGAAGGGAGTACATGGGGGTGGATCAAGGAGAGCTCCAGCAAATAGTTGATGCATAGCTGGAGTGTGGGGTTTGAAGTGGGTGACAGCTATGATCTGAGCCTGTTAATCATACGTAGATATGTCAGAACTGCGTCCTGCTATATTTTAGTGCCTATAGTTCTGCCTGCCCATTTGTTCTCTGTGTTACAAAGTCCTTGCTTCAACTTCACCTACTAAATCTTACCCCTTCTCCATGAAGCCCACCTGACAGCCAGGAGTCACCTCTTTTTCTTTGTGTTTTCTAAAGATCTTGCTTATACTTCTTCTGTGCACTTATCTTGAGTCCCTGAGTGTGGTGCACCTGGTTAAGCACTTGGCTGCTAACTAAAAGGTTAGAGAGCCAAGTCTTCTTAGAGGCTCCTTGAAAGAAAGATTGGTGATCTACTTCCAAAAAATCAGTCACTGCAAGCCCAGTGGAGTAGAGTTCTACTCTGACACACATGGGGTCTGTGTTTGCTCTATTTTTTACCCTCCTCCCTTACTGTAGAAATATGAGAGGACCCAACCTTCTTCAGCTGATTTTTTTTTAAAGTTTTTATTGTGAATTGAGTGATAGTTTATATGGGATAACATCGGTTTTATACTCATAGTTTCATTGCAGTCTCCGTGCATCATCATTCAACAGTGTTTGCTTCTATTCCTTCTGTTTTGTTTTTTGGGGGAGGGGTGGAGGTATGGACATAAAAACTCTCAGGAATATATAATCATTTAAACAACCAAAAGGCACATTTTGCAAGCCTGCCTCCTAGTTGCTAGCACACAGCCTTTCTCTTTGCATGAGTCTAGAGTCCTCAGCTGCTCTCTCTCTCCATGTTCTCATCTCTGCCTCCATCTCTGGTGTTGCTGCTTCTCTCGATAGCGTCCCACATTATGTTTGTGCTCTTCTTTCGATTGTCCTAGGGTGCTCTGTTTCTGGATTAAGATTAACTACTCCCCCGTTTTTGTTACAAAACTTCTACCTTTATAGTTGTGACAGTTGCAGTTAGTCATAATAACAATTACTCAGTATTGAATCAAGAATCTTATCCCCATCTCCTTTCACCAGATTCATCTAGACAAGATGAAAACTGTTCAGTGGGGATTCTACCTTCCCCCACACACTCTGAAACTAAACTCCCTCTTGAAAACTTGTAAGCCAGTTACTCCATGGCTTTATAGCCCCCTCATTTTAAGTATCCAATGTGTAAGTTGCCCGTCCCTATCAACCCTGTGTACAGAGGAATTGGATTGATACTTGATGTGAAGATTCCTTCCCTCTCAGTTGGTTATTTTGAACTCCTACATCCATAAATATAGGTCAAGTTCATCAAATTGTAGCAATTTACACTTGTTTCCTTTATCAAATTTTTTTTTTTTTTTTATCTTTACCTCTAGTCGAGTTCTGATCATCAAGCCATTGAAGCTAGGTTGAATGGATACTGTCAACAAGTTTGGGCATTCTTGAGTGTCTCCACTCACTTCGTATCCTTCAGCTGATTTTTGCTTTGGTTACTTAGAATATACATTTGAAACCAGCCAAGCTTAATTATTAAACTATTTTTACTAAGTCTATTTATTTAGATGGATGGATGAATGGACAGATAGACAGATGTTTTTAAGTGTCGTCGAGTCAGTACACTCTTAGGGACCCTGTATAGGGTTTCTGATGGAGTCCTGGTAGCGTAGTGGTTACGAATTGGGCTGTGAACCTTAAGGCCAGCAGTTCGAAATTACCAGCCGCTCCGCGGGAGAAAGATGAGGCAGAGTTCTGCTCCTGTAAATCCTGTACAGGGTCTCTATGGGTCGGAACCGACTCGACGACACTTAACAACAGCAACAATAATAGGGTTTCTGAGGATCAGATGGTGGGTTTGAACTACAAGCTTATAGTTAGCCATGCTGTGTTTATCCTACAGCTACACATACAAATCCCCCCCCCCAAACAAAAACTTAAGGTTGTCCTGTTTAAGGACAGATTCATTTTACCAATTATGTACCAAGTCTATGACAGTACAAAAAGTACAGATTTCTATTTTTATGTTTTCTGAATGTATTAAGTGTCCTTCTTTTTACAGCTGGCTCGAGAAGTTTTGGATATTGCTGCTGTGATGATTAAACCAGGTGTAACTACTGAAGAAATAGATCATGCTGTACACTTAGTAAGAAAACTTTACTTTTGTACTTTGAAAGAATTTTTCACATTTTTAATTATTTTAGAATTCTAAAAATTAAAGTAACCTTAAAATCTGAAAGGCTAAAATTTGCTAAGGTCTTTGGAAAGAAAATTTTTGTGCTTTGAAATAGGAACATATTCAAGTAATTATTTTCATTCTCAGTACCTATAGTATTGAGCTCTGAAGTGATGTGGAAATACTTTGTTTCTGAAACCTTAAATTTAATAAATATTGTAGTGTACCTTTTATAAAATGATTAATTTTGCCAATATTTTATATAAATCACACCAATGTCTCTGTACATGAAATATTCTGAAATAAGAAAACAGTACTACTTGTGAAGTCAAATATGTAGAAAAGGTTCTATTCCATACCATAATTAACAAGGCTAACTAAAGACAGATGTGTAATAAATATGATATAGGGATATATTTGTATAAAAGATTGTCTAGTTATCAAAAAGAAACACCTTAAGACTAGTAGAAAAGTGTGCATTATTATATGAATAGAGTGTTCACAATAAAAGAGCCATTACTGATTAGTAAAACACTTAGGGAAATGTTCTAATAAACAAATACGAAAAATACTTAGTAAATTTAGTGTTTTAATGATGTTTACATACATGCTTATACGAACAGGGTAAAATTGTTATTTATATAGTGATGGTATTTTTAAAGGGACAAAACTTTTGAAAGGAAATTTGACAATCTGTCTTACACTATAAAAATGTCTATAATCTATTATTTTAGATTCTGGGTTTTGGATATTGTTCTGTATGTTATAAAATATACACAATTTTGAATGTTTTCTATGTGCCACTTTTTCTTTTAAGTGCTTGTTTTACATTACCTCATTTAATCCCCAGCAATCCTATGTGGTAGATAATATTTTCTCCATTTTATAGATATGGAAGCTGAAGTGGCTAACTAACTTGCTCAAGGTTATACAACTTATAAGTTATGCAGTTGGCATTTTGAATCAAGATCATCTGATTCTATGTGCCCTTAACCACTGTTTATACTACTGTGGAAATATAAACTTGAATGAGGAAAAGCCACAGGCATAGAGTTACTGGTTATAAAATTGTTATATTGAGGAAAGCTTAAATTTCTAAAAATGTTGGAATTGCCAGTAAAATTATGACATATTCAACATATGGTATTCCATGCAACCATTTAAAAAATTACCTTGAAGACAGTGTGGCAATACTGAAGGATAAATTATGTATATTGTGATTTGTTGTTATTGTGTGCCATTGAGTCAACCCTGTGTGGCAGAATATGAATGGCCCCCTAGGATTTCCTAGGCCAATTGCCACATCTTCCTCCTGCAGAGCGCTGAGTGTGTAACTGTTGTGCCCCTGGCTCCTTATGCTGTGATTGTTGTCAGTTTCTGAGGAGTGGCTGGTGGGTTTGAACTACTCTCCTTGTGATTAGCAGTCCAGTGTTTATCCTACAGCACCACCTTAGGACTC